CAGAAAAAAAGGTAAACAAAGCAAAAGTATGTTGAATGTAGATAGAAACATATGGATCAAGGATGGGAAAGACTAACATAATAAGGAATTACACACACATACAGCAAGTACAATATTAAATATCTCTGTATTGTCTGTTGTGTTAATTTTGAGGTAAACATGTCTAAAGTACTGTATTAATGCATGGTACAGTCACAAATTTAACATCTTAAAAAGTTGTACCTTGTACTACACCAAGAAGCACATTATTACTATTGATTTAATGTGTAAAAGGTAAAAGAGTAGAACCAAAATTATCCATCTGTAAGGGATCTATTATTTGTTTCAAAAGGCAAATTAAATATATTGGAAATATGTTTCTAGGCCTATTGAAATTAAATAAAAGCAGTAGTGTAGGAGTTAAAATTTAATTACTGTGGCTGAAATACTGAAGTATTTAATAAAGTATTGTGTCTCAATGAGGACATCAGATGGAAAAATTTTGTTGTTTATTTTGAAAGAGCCACAATAATTTATTCAATGTTCGAGTACAAAAATATGACCTTACGGTAAAGAGAAACTAACGGAAGTTTCCAAATCAATCAGTAAACCTTTTGTACATCAAAGGAAATTATTATTTTCAACTACGTAAGCATTTACTTTCAATCCATCGAAGCCCAGCCCAACGTCAAACTAATTCACAACATAAATAACAAAAGGACTCCTTTTTGGGCACTAAATATTCTTAATCACAATATTCACTTTATATAGCACCTTCAACAACGAAACCTCACAAAAAAGATGCGACATAACGGTTTACTATTTTCTTTGATTGGCTCCCAAAATGAAAACATTGTATTACGAAATGAAATTTCTTGGCGTCAAAATACTAAAATAGCTATGTACCTTGGTCCGTCCAAATGGGTTATCCGCAAATAACAAGAAATAAATTCTTTTTAAGCTATAGAGGGACGGATGAACCCAGATTCTTTTTAATGTTTCTATTATTTTTGCCTTTTTACACTAGTCAAAATGGCGTTCGCCGACTGGAGAATATTCCAATCAATAACAAAACGTCATTGACCCACTAGCGACACCTATACTCGATGAACTCAACTATTATAAGCAACGACAAGCAGTTGGATCTTAGGCATATTTTAAGGAAAATATTGAAAAGGTTTTTTATAAAATTAAACGTTTGTATATATAATGGCACTTTATAAAATGCTAAAAGATTCGTCGAATACATATCCGAGAAACTAGTTATAATGGGACTGATATATAGGTAAATAAATCATTTCGTCAAATGTCAATGAACATATAATAATATGATTTCTATTCTTCAATTATGGATCATTTCCATTTTATATTATTTAGTAAGTAGAAACCACAGGACAATATTTTTAAATATATTTTTAATACAATTTACTTTTTAAAAAGCATGTTGCGCTTTATTTAGGTATACAAAAGCTTTGTGGTATAAAGTGTTTCTTTATAATGTAAGCGATTAAAAATGTACTAAAATGAAAATAATGTAATAATCTTATTTTTAAAAATAAAAACTGTAATATCATGCTCCTTGTTCACAAAAAAAAATGATATTTATTGAATTATTTTATGAATGAAAATGGCGTCCGTTGGCACGTCCTCTATTGGGTTACAAGAAAACCTGCAAGATGAACTCTTCCATATATCACTGACAAAAACCCAAAAGGTTCAAGCATGGCGTTCTTTACTATAGTCGATTCACTCAACTGAGTAATATTTTGACAGATTCATTTACGGAAACATAAAGAACAAAAAAATCCTACCACTGAGTATTAATAGCCCAAATTAATTTTTTCTTTTAGACTTCCTTCATTGAAAAGGGAAGAATAATTATGAATAATGGAAGTGTATATCAATTAATTGCATTAAAAAATTTCCATTTCTAAATTTATAAACGACAATGAAATTTTAAAAATTAAATTTTTGTCTTAATTTATTTAAAAAGCTACATGTGAATATTTTTTTGTTTAAATATTGACTAAGAATACGTAAGCTTGGTTGTAAAAAGAAATTCAAGTGTTTGCTTTAACAGCTTGGGAAATTAATTTTTCGGAATGCCAGAGGTTTTGAAATTTTGCATTTTCCATGTTAAAATTTTTTTCCAGTTTTTTTTAAGAGCCTGAAGAATGTGACATCCAATAGCTGATAAATATTGGTAGAGTTGGATGGCAAGCTAGCGAGTATTATATCATTTTCTTCACATTGCCTCAGAACGTCTTGGATTCAAATGCGATGCTAGGTTGACCCCCTATTAAGACTTTTTTCATTCTAGTCGCCTAGCATGTCGTAAGAAACAAGTGACAAACCAATCATAGAATGTTGACTGATCTATCCAACCATGTGAGGTTCGATTATATCGCGGGCCCAGTGAATAACATGGCTGTTAGCAGCATGGGCTGCCCTTGGGACAATTCTCTGTCCAAGTATCCCATAAATTTTCCGACTTTTATATGACATAAGGTGGCATAAGTATATAAATTTCTGGAGCGTACGTGACGTGGGGTTATGTTGATCACTTAATAAAAGGTCACCCCATTCAATATTATCCACCATATTAAAAAAAGCTGGTGTTAGTTAAAATGCTATCTACTATTGGAGAGCCATACAAAACATAACACTAGAAATACAGAAACTTAGTTCGTTTTTTCTCTACGATCAAAAGTACACAAACCACAAAAATAGGCCAAAAATTATGGTTAATTTTAAAGCAACAGAACTTCTTTCCAATCTCAATTGCAAAGTAACATCAATGTGAACTGATCATAGCCGAGATCCAAGAAATAAGTTTCCCTGCACGTAGAAATAATTTCACATTGTTGCCGGTGGTATCTACATACCTATTTGTGGTAAAATAACAAATGATCAATGTCATTTCGGGAGATCAGCCTCACCCCATTTTACGTTAGCCTTAATGGGAACTGGGTTTACCTCTTTTTTCTATTTTTAGCTCTATCCTTCCTTCTTCGTAAGATAATCAATAAAACACCAAATTATATATAAAAATCGTATATTTTTACTTATATAAAAATTATGTACAGTCTATTCACAATGATTACAAATCTTATAAAAAGCCACTAATGTTCTACTTCGAAAACTATAAATATGTTGATTGTTGAATACAGTCCCTAAATCAATAAATAAAATTGTACAATCAGGGTGCCAATAATGCAAATAGAAAAATGAATTTAGTTAATGTATCAAGTTAAAATCCCGGTTACTATAGCTACGGGGACGGATTTTTAAGTTTCAGGACTTTTAAATTTCAATTGGCAACGCCACAGTTCAGTTGAAGGCATTGTTTGATACCGATTGCTTTGTTTTCCCAAAGTTGCAGTTGAGGAGAAGAAGTTGTCAAGTAATACATTATCATTAAAACAGCTCCAAACAAACTAAAGCTGAAATTCTATGCATAAACAAACTAAAGATATTAGGAAGCGGAGCTAAGTCCATTCTACATAAAAACGTGACTTTCATCACCTAGCCTACGTAACAGACTTGCCCCCCGCAGAGTTTTTCTTGTTTTCCAAACTCAAGAGAACTTTGACATAACAGAGGAATTTGGCTGATTAAAAATAATAACGTAAAATGACTTAATGAATTAAGAGCCTTCCACAAGAACAATTTTCAGGGTTTAACGGTGAAAACGACACAGGGGAAGTGTATACATTGACAATATTAATACCAATCTTGAAGAATGTTAAATGATTTATATGTTTATACAAAATTTTATTTTAAACATTAGTCCTGGAACTTTTTGATTACCACCCGTAAATATAGTACTTCTATTGCACCGTAACAGGAAAATAATAATAAAATCTGTATTTAGAGTTGAACAGAAAATAATAAAAGACACTATCAATTTAAAATTGTTAACAATGATAACTTATCAATATTAATCTGAGCAATATTCTTGGTGGCATTTACAGTGGTCATCAAACATTTTGTCATTTTCTACCAGTACCTTTGTAACTTGCAACTTGTATTTAAGTTCGAATTAAAACAACTGCTTCGTGAGAACTACTTCAGGACCGATCAGATTTGAATTAACTCACATTTCGTCGTGTTGGAATAACAAAGTTGTATCTGGTATTTTTATCCAAAATGAGTTATTGGTACAATATAATTATAGTTTCGCTTTAAGTATGAAGATATCAGCACCATCTACGCGGCGATTCCTAGAATAACAGTGTTACAAAGTCTGTAATCTTAAGCAGACAATTAATCAAAAAAGCAAAATGAGAAAGTTGGAAAAAGTACCCCAACCAATAAATCCTTCCACTCCCTTAAATGGAACAAAGTCCGGAGAATAAAAGGGACAAAATACCTCCGAGGTATAGATACTCATACAATATCAAACAATAACCAAACGCATTCAAACATACAAACAAATAAGACATTCCAGAAATACTAGCAGATATATATGAACTTAATTCTAGTGATTCCAATTACAGCCTATCCTTTCTAGAGCACAAAAAACTAACGGAGTCTTCAAATACCTGGGAACTGTTATCAACGAAAATAATGATTGCTCTGAAGAAATCAGAACCAGAATAGAGAAAGCTAGAGCCACATTTACTAAATTGAAAAAGGTGTTCTGCGGAAGAGATCTAAGTCTAAAACTTAAAATTCGCCTTTTGAGATGTTACGTTATGTCAGTTCTCCTCTACGGGATGGAAACATGGACATTGAAAAAGATCGATACCAAAAAGATAGAAGCATTTGAGTTGTGGATGTATCGTAGAATATTAAGAATACCCTGGACAGAGAAAGTAACAAATGTGGAGGTTTTGCGAAGAGTGCGGAAAGAGAAAGAGCTGATACTTACTGTTAAAAAGCGCAAACTACAATATTTGGGACATGTTATGAGGGGAGATAAATACCAGTTTGCTGGCAATTGATTATACAGGGAAAGATAATGGGAAAGAGATCTATAGGAAGAAGAAGGCATTCATGGTTGAAAAACTTGAGAGAATGGTACAATTGCACCAATTACCAACTGTTTAGATCTGCAGCATCAAAAATACGCATAGCTTTGATGATAGCCAAACTTCGGAACGAAGACGGCACTTGAAGAAGAAGAAGAAGTCTTCAAATATACAAATCACAGAGAGCGGCAATCCAATAATCAAACCAGTAAGTCTTCAGGAATTAGAATTTTGTTTAAGTGCTAAAAATTCGAGTCAGGGACCTGATGATATCCACTCTCTTTTCTTACGAAATCTTCATCTGAATGCAAAACTAATATTAGTTGATATTTTTAACAATATTTTTATTCACCATGACTTTCCTGATCTACTTGCACAAATACAATAATCAAATCTTATACTTGGCTCATTAATGTATGTTTAAATTGAACTTAAACAAACTAAAACGTGAAGAAACTGCAAAATAAATGCAGTTGATATTATTCTAACCAAGCAGAAATCTCGTTAGTAGTACGCATACAAAAAAAAAATAGCACAGTATGGGCCAACTGAGTGTGAGAAAATTTTGAGCGGCATCCTTTGATGTACCGCCAAGTTTGACAGATGGGCAAATCCTCTTCTTCTTCTCGTCTGCTACGTATAAATTCTTTTTTCCATGTTTTGTCATTCTGCTAGGTGTCTGAAACGTCATACGTCAGCTGTCATACGTAATTCATCAAGTTTCTACATCAAACGTCATCTTTCAACGGTCAAATGACTCTTTCTCTGTGTCCAAACTAGCTAAAGATAGATATAAAGTGTAAAATAAAGTATCTAAGTATAAATTAACAGTGGACATGGAAAGTTTATCGATATGATAACATAAATAGTAAAAGTTGGCGGATAAAATGAATAAAACAAGCCCTAAATGGAGAAGCTCAGACTACAAGGAGTTTTCTTAGTAGAAGTACATAGTTTGTATCAAAAATAAAAGTGATAGCTTATCCGTCTTCTATAACTTCTTCCAACTCTATATAAAAATCAAAACCAAAAGTAACAATCTCGCCCCGTTCCCATATTAAAATTTCCATTATAAAACTTTCAATGTTAACAAATAGCGCTAATGGCAACCACAACAGACCAACAACCTCATCAGTTCGAGTTTTTCTCTGTAGAAGGCTTTTTCTTTCCTTTAGGACTGGCTAAAGTGATTAAGGGCACCCTCCGAGGCTTCTTTTGTACCACAGTCTCGTCGTTTTTCTTTTGTTTCGGCGAACTACTTTCATCTGATACTACTTCTATGATCCTATTTACCTAAAAATAAATTTTACTCAGTATTAATTGGATGATAAGGAAAGTTAACATTAATTCTACACAAACATTCACTAAGAAAATAAGTGACATTAAAACAACTAGCAATAAAACAATAAGTAATACCATCGAGCCACCGAAAAAAATCGTAATTGAAGAAGACCATAGAATCACTTATTTCTACAATTTTCCAAAACGTTGCAATGTTAGGAAAAGGAGAGTATCGGCATTATGTGTGAGATCGTTTTTGACAAAATAGCCATTACATAGTACTATTCTTTCAGTTAATTTAGCAAAAAATCTGGAAAAACTGGAAACTTGTAGATCTCTCCATTCTAGTCAACCATGAAGCTGAGACATTATTGCTGATATTCCATGTGAAATTAGAATTAGAATAACTATTATTTTGGTGTACAAGACAAAATATTTTGGCATCGGACAATGTAGCAAGAGTATCCCTTCCCACATAATACAGAGATTTGTTATTGCCTGTTTGTTTTTTAGAAGAAAGGCACAACTTTGTTTTGGTTGGATTTGGTTTTAAGTGATATTTCTTGTAGCATTTTAGATTTTACTTCAGATAAGTTTTGTTGAATAGTTTCTAATTCGTTGGCCAGACTCTAATGACATAATGGTCTGTGTATATAAACATCTGAGTTCCTGCTAGTAAGGATTATTCGTTCGCCTAGATGTTAAATAGATTTGGGATAAAATCGCTTCTTTGTGGTAGCAATTCTTTTGTATCCTCCAGCGACTATTTCCTTGTAATTCCACGGTAATTTTGGAGCAAAAGGGTGAGATTGAAGTCTTTGAGAATGCTATAAAGATTCCCAAGAAACAGCCCATGGTTAACCACGTCATATGCAGCTTTAAGATGTGTAAAACCTGTTCCAGTGATTTTGCTATTTTCGAAACCATTTTCTATGTTGAGTTGCTCCCATACAGTCTTCGTAGACACACTGTCTCAAGACTAGCAACTTCAACGTGGAGTCATATGTCGCCATGTTACCTAATCCAAGGGTAACTTTAACATCTTAAACCATTATAAGAAAATTTGTAAACTAAATGTAATTAATTATTTGTTAACGGGTTTTTACCCATATATTTAGTGGCTACATTCATGTACTCTTAGACACTGATAATGGAATATGGATTCCGAAAACATTTTGTCTTTTTAACTTAACCAGTTTGGGTTCTAAATATATACCTTTTACAAGGGATTTTTAATAAATCTTTTTAATATATGGTATACAGCCAACTACAGGAACGTAGATTCCTTGTGAATTTTCTATGTATTGAGTTAGTATTTGCGAGATGGTGCTTTTACAGGTTTAAATCCAGCTTGTTGGGTTGAAAAGTGGTTCAATAATTGTCAGAATGTTAAGGATCGTTAGTTCCAGGAACTTATACAGGTGGCACAGCAGCGATATTGGTCTAAAACTCATAGGATCACTTCTTTTTTTCCCAGGATTCGGCCAGATTTTTGTGCAATTTATCAGATTGATCAGAAGTTATTTCCTTGTTATTGTGCCGAATTTCTTTATTTGATATCAAGTCCAGCTGCTTTCCCATTTTTACATAGTTTGATAGGCTTTGTTGATCTCCACCAAGTTCCCACCTTCACCCCCTGATCCCATGATTTTCCTACTTTTAAGTAATTGGTGAGCAATCTGGTCACCTTTAACGTTGGCATTATACTGATGGTTTTTGTGGAATCGCAGGCCAAACACCACAGTGACCAGGCCTTTTGGCTATTTCTCCCCATGCCCAGGTCCTCCATTAATATTATCCATTTTCAAATTAATCATTTTACAATAGTTTATACAAAATTATGTACACATAAGTTTTTTAAATCCAAATTGTAATAAAACACCACTTTCATAAAAGCTCACATTTGGCTAATACAATCCTGGCAACTATCAAAATGGTCTCAAATCACATGCAATAATTCTAGACATGCCAAATCACAACAATACGTCACAACTGAAGGCTCTGAGAAGAACCAAGCAGGTTGTCTTTATTATAAACAAAAAAATGATTAAACGATGTATATAAACAATGAATTGAACCAGAAAAATCTACGATATTTTCTCTAACTTACCCATAGATTTATTATTGAAAACACTAGTTTCAAACACAAAAAGACTTTTGAAGGAACAAACACTAAACACACTGGTTGAAATTTCAACAGGTTAGTCGACATCTCGCGCCAATTCAGGAACTGGTTTCATATTACACCAAAGATTTTATAATAAATTTTGCGTAAAAATGAGATAAAGTGTAACAAAGTGTGTGAAATGTTAAAAAGGACTTCAATGATACAAAACTGTTATGATAAAAAAAAACAAACAAGTGGTCTAAGCGTTTGAAGCGTCGAAGATGATGAACCCCTGGACGCCCCAGCACATCAAGTATCGATAAAAACGAAAAAAAAAGTGATAAATGGTTAGGAATGACCATCGAATCACAATCAGAGAAGTCGCTGAGGTTGGAATATCAGTTGGCTCAACCCATCACATTTTTTTAAACGTTTTGGGTATGAAACACGCGTGTCAACAACATTTGTTTGAAAATTGTTGAATTTTAAACAAAAACAGCGGCGAATGGAAGTTGCTCAGTAGTCACTAAATGACGTAAACGACGACTCAGATTTACTCAGAAGCGTTATATAGGTGACGAAACATGAGTTTATGGATATGCCCCAGCCTCCATATTCGCCAAACATGGCTCCGTGTGACTTTTTCCTATTTTCAAAAATAAAGAAAACTTTAAAGGGAGGTCGTTTCACAAGAATAGATGACATTATAAGCGCATCATTGAGGCTATCCCAAAGATCGAGCTTGAGAAGTATTTCAAGAAGAAGCGTTGACACAAGTGCATAATATCTAATATGGACTACTTTCATCATCATCAGTGGTGCTACAGCTCTAGTTGAGCCTTGACCTTCCCCAGTCTATTTCGCCAGTCGTTTCTGTTCATCGCCAACCGTTGCCAATTTGCCGCGCCGATTTTCCTTGCGTCCTCGTCCACACCGTCCCTCCATCTCAGTCGTGGTCTGCCTATACTCCTATTTCCCACTGGGACCGATAATAGAGTTCGTCTGGGTGGGTAATTTTCATTTGCTCTTGACACATGTCCAGCCCATCTAAGCCTACCTATTTTTATGAAGGATATTACATCTCTACCATTTACTATTTTTTTATACTTCTCGTACAATTCGAAATTATATCGCCTTCTCCAAATACCATTCTCACACAATGCGCCCATTATTCTTCTTAGTATCTTCCTTTCGAAGACGAGCAGAAGATTTACGTCTGTTTTGGAGATGGTCCATGTTTCTGACCCATATGTCAGCACTGGTAGGATGAGTGTTCGATATATTATTAGTTTGGTTTTCTGGCTTAAATTTCTGTTTTTTAGCTGCTTGCTTAGTCCAAAATAACATTTGTTTGCTAGCAGTACCCTCCGTTTAACTTCTTCAGATGTGTCATTATCGTTTGTTATGAGAGAACCCAAATATGTAAACTTATTTACTACCTCAAAATTATATTGGTCTATACTGAAGTTTTGTTCGGCGTTTCTAGCTCTATCTCTGTTATTTGGAATAGATGCTAACATTTTGGTTTTTTCCTCGTTTATTTTAAGGCCCATATTTTGTGCGGCTGTCAAGAAGGTGGAAGTCATCTCTTTAAGTCCTCGTGTAGTACGTGCAATCAAATCCAGATCGTCAGCGTAAGCCATAATCTGCGTTGATTTATTAAAGATTGTTCCCCTATTGTGTAACTCGGCATCTCTTATAATTAGTCGAAAGAAAATGTAAAAAAGTATTTTTGAAGTGTGTATATTTTAGGCAATTCCTAGCTGAGCGCATTCGGACAAAGCCATTATCAGAGCTATGCTACAATAAAATCTTCTTATAGCATAGCATAGCTCTGATGATGGCTTTGTAAAGCCGAAAGCGCTCAGCTAGGAATTGCCTAAAATATACACACTTCAAAAATACTTTTTTACATTTTCTTTCGACTTGTCATAAGTGTGTACAAAAAATATCAGTTTTTTGATTGTTAATCTCTTATAAGCTTTTCTAACAGTATATTAAAGAGAAGGCACGCCAGCGCGTCTCCCTGCCGTAACCCTGCATATGTTTCAAACGCTTGTGACATATCGCCTTGTATTTGCACTCTGCAGATCACTTTACTCATAGTTGTTTTTACGAGCCTTATTAATTTATGGGGAATGTTAAGTTCATTCATGGCTTCGTATAATTTACCTCTTAGGACGCTATCATACGCTGACTTAAAGTCCACAAAGAGATGGAACGTGTCAATATTAAATTCATTGGTTTTTTCTAAGATTTGACGTAGCACAAAAATCTGGTCAATTGTTGACCTACCTGGCCTAAAACCGCTTTGATACTCACCAAGGATTTCTTCCACGTACGTACTTAAACGGCTGTACAGGGTGTTGGAGAATATTTTGTACATTGTATTCAGAAGAGTTATACCCCTATAATTTTTACATTCCAACAAATCTTCCTTTTTGTGTAGTGGACATATGATTCCAGTGCACCATTCCTCTGGCATTTGTTCTTCTTCCCAGACTTTGACTATTATGTTGTGAATTTGGTGCATAATGCTGTTACCTCCACGTTTGATGAGCTCTGCGGGGATACAATCCACTCCTGGGGACTTGCTATTTTTGAGTCGTGTGATTGCGTCTTTCACTTCAAATATTGAAGGAGGTTCTACGTGAGTGTTATTTCTTGGTCTTTGGGGTGACGCGTCATTTTCCACTTCGGTACCAAGTAGTTCTTTCAAGTGTTCAACCCATCTGCTTTGTACTGCGTCAGCGGTACTGACTAGATGTCCATTTTTGTCTCTACACATCGTCAGCCGTGGTTTAAATTCTTTTCTTGTCTTATTTGGGATATTATAGAACTTTCTTGTTTCATTTTGCCCCTTTAATGATTGAAGCTCTTGCATAATCTGGTTTTCGAAGGTCCGCTTTTTCCTTCGATGTATGCGTTTTTCCTCCTTCCTAAGATCTTTGTACATTTGCTCCTTATCCCGTGTTCTTCTTTGTTGCATAAGTTTATATGCATACTTTTTTCTTTTAGTGATATCTTCACATTCATCGTTGAACCAACTGTTAGGATGGACTACTTTAAAGACGACAATATTAATGTAGACGAATAAAGTTCCGATATTTTAAAAAAATTAAAATTGTGCAAAATTTTACATTACTATTACTATCTACTACAAAAAAACAACACTAAATACATTACCTGTGCATCATTCTGATCTACATCAACTTTATCTACGTCCATTTTCGTACACTCACTTTTCTTTTCTGTTTTGTCGTCTTGAGTATCTTCGAGCTGAAGACAAAAATCTTCGGTGAAGTCATCTTCCATAGGTACAGCATCCGGTACCGCAGGCACATCTTTCTTGGCAATATCGTCACCGAATCCGTCTCTAGCTTCAAGGTCATCCAAGGTTAAATCGACGTTCTGGACAACAACAGCCTCTGGTTTATTTTTCTTCTTGTCACTTGATTTCTTTAGGAAGTCCAGCAGAGGATTGCTTTTAGCGGGGGTTGTGCTCAATTTTTTTGGAATAAGAGAACCTACTTTGATTTTTGGACCATCTTTTTTCTTAAGGGAGGACGATTTTTTATCTGTCGACGATGTACTTTTACTGGTAGCTGGTTTTGAAGGTGTAGTGGTAATACTGGATGTATTTTTATTTTTGGATTTTGTGCCATTTGAAACATTTTTCTTTTTGTTACTTTTGTTTTGTGAGGGACTGTTTGTAGTCTTTTTGCTATGTGTACTTAACAAATTATTATTATTAGTTTTTTGGTCTACTTCTTGATCCTGGCTATTGCTAACCAAATCTATAATTTCATCTTTACTTTTTTGGTCAGAATTCATATTTTCAAGTCTATTACTCATATTGTTTTCTGTTTTTTCTTCAGATCTACTGGCAATTTTGTCATTAATTATATGTTCAGTCGAACCGCCTTTACTTTCAGTATTATGGCTAATATCATTTAAATTGAGAGGTGTAAGAACTATTTTAAGAATTTTGTCCTTATCAACATTTGATTTGGCAGTTACATTATCTTCAACTTTTTTAGGTGTAATTCTTCGTGGAATTAACATATTTATTATTGTAGACGCTGCTTTGGGCTTTTGAGATGGACTATTTGTTACCTCTCTCGGTTTCCTTCGCACTTCTATAGGCTTTGCTTCTAGTTTTTTCTCTCCAGTTTCATTAGTATTTAATTCTACTTCTACTTTAGGTTTCTCGACAACTTTTTCGCCTCCAGGTTCGTTAGGTTTATTACATTTTCTCTCGTTTCTCTTTTTTCTGATCTCAATAGGTTTGGCTTCTATGTTTTTTTCTCCAGTTTCACCAGATTTATTGTTTTCTTCTTCTTTTGGCTTTCTTCTGACCTCGATAGGTTTGGCTTCCAGTTTTTTTACTCCAGCTTCATTAGATTTGTTATTTTCTTCTTCCTTTGGCTTTCTTCTGACCTCGATAGGTTTGGCTTCCAGTTTTTTTACTCCAGCTTCATTAGATTTGTTATTTTCTTCTTCCTTTGGCTTTCTTCTGACCTCGATAGGTTTGGCTTCTAGGTTTTTTTCTCCAATTTCACCAGATTTCTTGTTTTCTTCTTCTTTTGGCTTTCTTCTGACCTCAATAAGTTTTGCTTCATCTTTTTTATCTATAGCTTCATTTGGTTTATTTTCTTCTCTGGGTTTTCTTCTGACTTCAATAAGTTTTGCCTCCGATCTAATATCTTTTAATTCAGTCTTAGATTCGTTAGTTTGATTATTTTGAATTTCTCTTGGTTTTCTTCTAACCTCAATAGGCTTAGCTTCAGTTTTGGAGCTTTTACTGACTTCATCTATTTTAATGGGAGCTATTCGTCTGGGTAGGAGCTTGTGTATTTCGTCTTTTATTTCTTTGGACAGTTCTTTCGGTTTTTCGTCGCCGTTATCTTCACTGTTATCTTCATCATCGTCTAGTTCTATAATATCTTCACAATCAGTGACATTTTTCTTTTCCACCTTAGCTTTTTTGGGCGTGTTTTGCACCCACTGTTGGATAAAACTAGGTCTCTTCTTAACTTCTGTTTTCGTTTCTTCCTTATCGGTTTTATTAGTAATGTCAACATTTTCGTCTTTATCTGTAGTGTCTATTGGAGTAATTTCGCTACATTCCATATTACTCACTTCTTCGTCACTTTCCTCTTTAGTATAAATCTTACCGAGTTCTTCCTGTTCGAAAGTAATTATGGTACAGAATCCATCAGTAGAGGAAGCTATTAAAATCAGACCATCCGCAGACCAGGTAAGATCTGTAATTCTGGTGTAATGAATTTCATGAAATCGAGCGAATGGTTTCGTTTGTTGAGTATCATAAAGTATAATATCGTGATCGGTTCCTACAGCAAATATCATCCGGTAGGGAAGGTTCACCAAAGATTCTGGTCCGTCGTCTCGAAGGCAAAAAAGTAGCGGACAGCACCTTACTGTTGTGCTGCTTTGGTTGTCCAATGGTAGAATTGCTGCGGGTCTATAAAAAAACATGTATTAATATCTAATATATACTTACGTTCGAGTTGGAAGTGTTGAGAATGTAATACATTTATATTGTATACACAGATATATTGGTGTAAGAGTAAGCGGAACGCACCCATAGTGTCATGGGTTGACATGACAGACAATAATAGTAATGTCAATGAGTATCATGTAGTTGTAGGTGGTAGTAAGAAGTATGGTGGCTTAAGTTAGGTTAGTTAATTAGTATGTATGTTATAGGAAATAAAGCCTTTTATAATAGTAGTAAAGTACGACTATTTATTTTCCAAATCCACACCTTAACATGGTAGCAGAGGTCCGTGGTTGGAAAGTCGTACCTTTTACAACAGAAAAAGTTTGGTGCAGTTTGAAAAAAAAAAGTGTGACACATGATGGCAGGTAGTAGTGATTTTAGAATACCTATATTCGATGGGGAGAATTATAAAATGTGGAAAAAACGTCTTATGCTATTTTTGAAAATGAAGAAGTGTGATGTTGTGGTAACCAGACCGAAAAATGAAAATGATGATACAAATTGGGATGACGATGATGTAAAAGCAATGAATTATATATGCGGTGCAATATCGGATCGACAGATGGAGTACATCGACGAAAAAACTACGGCGTATGAGATGATAAAGAAATTTGATAATTTATATTTGAAAGAATCAACGGCATTGCAGATAGTATGTAGAAATAACTTGGAAAGATTAAAATTGAACAACTATGGAGACTGTGCAACATTTTTTAGTGACTTCGAAAAAGCTATAAACGAGTTAAAAAGCGCGGGTGCTAGTGTGTCTGAAAAGGAAAAATTGAACTATATGTTAAACACGTTGCCAGAGTCGTACAGTTATATTGGTGATTTAATAGATACATTAAAAGAAGATGATCAAACTGCAGACTACGTAAAAACTAAGGTTATGATGTCCGAATTAAAAAATCAAAACAATGATTTTGGAAGAAAATCCAGTACATTTGTGGTAAATAAAGGTCGACAGGATCGATCATGCTTCCAGTGTGGCGAAGTTGGTCATTTCAAGCGAGATTGCAAAAATGGCGCCAATCAAGCGTCGGGTAATGGCGGACAAACGACAAGCAGTAGAGGCTGGTGGAGAGAAACGCGAGGTCGACAAGAAGCCGGAAGAGGAAGCTACGTCAGAGGACGTGGCCACTCACGTGGACAGCGCGGAACGCATGGAACAAGTGCACAGCGGTTCAACCGACAAGGACAGAAGAACGAAGAGCGAAACAGTGCTTCTTGGCTTACAACAGTAGCTCTTGGTAAGGATATGTCAGTTATTGCACAAAATACTGAAATAGGTAATGTAAATAATTGTATTGAAATAAAATGGCTTTTAGATAGTGGTTGTACAGACCACATTATTAATGATGAAAAATTATTTGATAAATGTAAATTACTTAAAGATCCCATTAATGTTTATTTAGGAGATAATAGGGTTGTAAAAGCTACTAAAATTGGAAATGTTTTAAGTTACTTTGATGCTTTTGGTAAAAAGAGTTTAGTAGATATGCAAAATGTTTTCTATGTTAAAGATATGAAATCAAATTTGATAAGTTATAGCAAAATAACAGAAAATAATAAGATTATTTCTCTAGGTAATATTTCAAAAGTTTTTGATAAACTTGGTAATATAACAGCAGTTGCTTTAAAAAATAATGGCTTATATATTATGAAAAGTAAATTAAAATCAGTTGAATTGCATGTAAATGTTGCAAATAAAGATATGAATAATATGAATCAAAAGGAAAAATGGCATCGTTTATTAGGTCATGTAAATTTTAAATATTTGAATATTTTATCTAAAGATCAGCTGTTGAATGGAATTCCTAATGAGTTTGAATCTGAATTTATGAAATGTAAGATTTGTATTGAAAGTAAAATGCATAATATTCCGTTTGTAAACAGTAGAAAAAAAGCTAAAGATATTTTAGAGATTGTACATACTGATGTTTGTGGGCCTTTTCGAACTACTGGGTTTAAAGGTGAAAATTATTTTGTTTCTTTCATTGATGATTATAGTAAGATTTCTAAAGTATATGCTATAAAATCAAAAGCAGAAGTATGTGATTGTTTGAATGAATATACGAATGAAAGTGAAAATTTGACTGGAAAGAAAATAAAGATTTTAAGATGTGATAATGGGAAAGAATATTTGAACAGTAAAGTCTACAGATTTGCAAAAGAAAGGGGTATAGTAATTGATAATTGTCCTACATATGTACATGAATTGAATGGGACTGCAGAACGGTTTAATCGAACTATAATGGATATGTCAAGATGTTTGTTGGCTGAAGCAGATATTCATAAAAAATATTGGCCTGAAATAGTTTGTGCTGCGGTTTATTTGAAAAATCGTACTTTATCTGATACAATTGAAAAGAAAACTCCATATGAAATATTTTTTGGACAGAAACCTGATGTTTCTAATTTGCGTTTGTATGGAAGTAAAGTTTTTGTACGAAGACCAGAACAGAAGAGAATCTCTAAATGGGATAAGAAAGCTGATATGGGAATTTTAATTGGTTATAGTAATGTTGGTTATCGTGTATTATTAAATGGCAGAGTCATTGTTGCTAGACACGTGGATATTGTTGAAGAAAACGTTAAGTGTATAGGTTTAGACTTTAACGAATCAGATAATGATAATAATGAAGAGTGTTACCCTGATAAAATTGATGAAAGCTCTGAAAATGACTCAATAGATGAAACTTTTGAAAGTACAAATGAAAGTATGGATGATAGTGTGAATAAAAATGAACCTGAGTTACCTAGATCTCACAGAGCCAAAAATCCTCCAAAGAAATTTGATGACTACTATGTATATAATAGTAGTATTTTTGTAAATATGTGTAGAACTGATATACCACATACATTTGAGGAGGCGATAAATTCTAATGAAAGTAAGTATTGGAAAACAGCTATGGACAAAGAAATTGATAGTTTAAATAAAAGTAAAGTTTGTAAATTAGTTAAAGCTTTATATGGTTTAAAAGAAAGTCCAAGGGCATGGTATGAGTGCCTAGATACATTTTTGATAAATTTAGGTTTTGAAAGAAGTAATATTGATCCTTGTTTGTACGTTTATAAAATTGGAAATGATATTATTTACTTATTAATTTATGTCGATGATTTATTGATTTGTGGTAGAAATTTAAATGAAATTAAAAGGATTAAAATTTTATTATCAGAAAAATTTAAAATGAAAGATATTGGTGAAATTAAAGAATATCTTGGTATTACTGTTGATTATGATTCTAGTAAACATGAAATGAGATTGGATCAAAATAAATATATTGAATTATTAAGAAAAAAATATAATTTAGAAAAAGGTAAACTGTATAATACACCTATGGAAGTAAATTTAAAAATTGATAAATCTGATCATTGTGAAAGAAATATTAAATATAAAAATTTAATTGGTGCACTATTATACATAAGTTCGGCAACAAGGCCTGATATAAGTTTCAGCGTAAATTATCTGAGTAGATTTCAAAATTGCTATAATGAAACGCACTTTAAATATGCTGTATGAATTTTGAAATATTTATGCTTAACTAAAGATTTAAAATTGTTTTATAACAGAAATGAAAAAGTAAGTATTATTGATTGTTATGTGGATGCCGATTGGGCAGGTGATCATTTAGATAGAAAGTCTACAACTGGTTTTGTAATAAGATTGTTTGGTAATGTAATTTATTGGAAATCTAGAAAACAAAAAAGCGTTACAAAAGCTTCAACTTTTGCAGAGTATGTAGCATTGTCAGAAGCAGTAAGTGAATTGATATTTGTAAAAGAATTGTTGAAAATATTTGATATTGAAATAATAAAGCCAATTGATGTTTATGAAGATAACACTGGTACAATTAGTATAGCTAATTATGGCAATTTTACAAAAAATTCTAAGCATGTTGAAATTCATTATCATTATGTAAATGATTATGTTAAAGCAAATGTTATAAATGTGGTTAAAGTAGATTCTGATGATAATATTGCAGATATTTTTACGAAGTCCTTGGGCCAAGATAAATTTGAAAAATTTCGAAGTATGTTAAATTTGAATTAATGTAAATACAATGTAAATGTAAGGAGGCGTGTTGAGAATGTAATACATTTATATTGTATACACAGATATATTGGTGTAAGAGTAAGCGGAACGCACCCATAGTGTCATGGGTTGACATGACAGACAATAATAGTAATGTCAATGAGTATCATGTAGTTGTAGGTGGTAGTAAGAAGTATGGTGGCTTAAGTTAGGTTAGTTAATTAGTATGTATGTTATAGGAAATAAAGCCTTTTATAATAGTAGTAAAGTACGACTATTTATTTTCCAAATCCACACCTTAACAGGAAGAATTTTTGGCGTTTTAATTTTAATTTAAATATAATTTTTTAGCACATATTTTTAAAGCAGGAGATAATTCATTGGTGAATAATTATAAGCCCATTATTATAATTAGTGTAATACCAAAGATAACTCTGCCTGTGGTGACAAATGTGTGGATCGGGTAGCTAAGGAGTCAACACTGTCGTCCTAAGCCCGGGTAAAGGAGGAAGATTGGGCAGTGGGCTGACAACCCACTCCCAGAAAAAACACACTGTTACGAAACCTGAACATTTGCCTCGGAATACAAGACGGAACTTTCGGAAACGACTCAAGCTACGAAACATGGCGAACAGAACAACACGAAAAGAAGAACAAGAACAACATACAAAGGAAAGCTTCTACCAACAGCTGAAGACAGTATTTCTATGATCTATCTAAAGCCTTTGACTGTGTCAATCACAAAATACTTCTTAATAAACTGGAAAGATATAGTTTTAGAGGCACTGCTCTAGAGTCGTTCAGTTCATACTTGGAAGACAGATGCCAATCTGTATCAATCAATGAGTGCTACTCTAGTAATATCTTTATTAATTGTGGAGTACCTCAAGGCTCTGTCTTGTGCATTATCTTTTTCTTGATATATTTTAACGATATAACTAACCTCGACATTCATGGTCGGTTTACTATATTTGCAGATGTCACCACAATTTTATGGCAAAACAAGGACTCTACGGTACTGAACAAGATTATTAGTAGTGATATGCTAAAAATTTTAGAGTGGTGCAAAGCTAATCATTTGACATTTAATTTTTCACAAACCAAATTAACTTCTTTTAAAAATGATCTAAACAACATTACTCTGGGCAATGAAGGCATTTGTTCTGACACCGTAAACAAATTTTTAGGTCTCTGTATTGATAATAAACTTAAATTTGAGCAACACACTATATTTAAGCAAAAAGATATCATCTGATTGCTTTGCCGTCAAATCAGTTGCTTACCATTTAGATTTCAAGATTACAAAGAATGTTTATGGGGCCCTGATTGAATCTAATTTGAGATACAGTATTGCCTTTTGGGGTAGCTGTTTCCTTCATCGTTTCAGTAGAAATATTATGCTACAAAAGAGAGCACCCAGATATTTATGCAAGGTCAAGTTTGGTAGATCATGCAGGCCTCTGTTCCGGAAACATGGTATCTTAACACTTTCTTGCATGTATATCCTTAAATTAGCGTGCTTAATTAAAAAAAACATAAAGAGGATAATATTCAGACAGTTTCCCCTTATAACACTGGTTTAAATTATGTTATTCCACTTCCAATTCCCTCTTCTACATTAACTAAAAAATAATTTATTTACACTGGTAGAAAAGTGTTCAATCACCTACCACTCGATATAAGATTCTCAAGCAATATTTTTGTATTCCGAAGAGCAATCAAGAAGTTTTTATTATCTAAATAATATATAGTATAGAGTATCTAAATAATATATAGTATATATATCCTCTATAGTATAGAGGAATTTTTTGAGGACAGTTGAGCTAATTGATATATTGTTTTTAATTATGAAAATTTTATAATTAGTATTTTAATGTATCTTGTGCCTTGTTTGTGCTATACCATGTTGTGTTTTATAAATGTAAAAACAATAAAGTATATGACAATGCGTCCAAAAATGACATCAAGATTATAATGGGTGATATGAATGCTAAAAGTCCTATGGCACAACAGGAAAACAACCACTGCACAATGAAACAAGCGAGAATGGAGAGTTTTTGATAAATTTTGCCACCAGTAAAAACATGGTTAGTTCCACATGCTTCCCACATAAAGACATACACAAAATGACATGGATTTCACCAGATGGAACCACAACCAAACAAATCAACCATGTGCTGATAGACAAAAGGGCAGCCAGTAGTACCTCAGATGTGAGAACAAGACGAGGAGCATGTTGTGGAGACCATGTTTTACTACAAACCAAATTTAGTTGCAGAGTTAACAAAGAAAGAAACGAAAGACAACAAAGAACAAACAAACTGGACCTGGAAAAACTGGAAATTCGGGAATGTAAAGAGAAGTTCTAAGAAGAAGTTGCAAATGAGTTAAGGATGCTAGAACTGCACTCCATATAAGGGAAATGGAATAATATCAAAGCACAAAAAACAAGCTCAAGTTTGACAGAAATGAGGATATTCACTCACATGATACTAGAGATAAATCAAATTTTCGACAACCTTTCTCTAGATTAGGTGTATCCCAACATGCACCTGAATATATTGGAATAATATGTTACAATAAAATAATAGATATATTAACTCTCAGTAATTCTTCACATACATAAAGGTTTTCGCCAAACTGTGTATTCATTTTTAATGGATAACACATTCTACAGTGTTGATGGATTTTTAAATGTATAAAAATTTTGCAACAATAGTTCTAAATTTGTATTTGTAACTTTTATTTCTTATTTATTTTATTATAATCACTGTTTTATTTTTATCATGTGTACTTTTACTGTATATTGAACTCTTTTGTACTAAAATTTTGACTAGTCTGACAAGATTTATACATTTTTTGTAAGAATTGTGTAAACTTTGTGGATGAATAAATTCTATCTAAGAAGAAGAATATCAAAGATATTTGAATGTTTTGTAGATCAACAATTTTGATTTCAGAATAACTGATCCACCAAATGTAATATACTAGTATTTGAGCCATCTTGAGGAAGGCCTTGAAGAGGGGCTGTAGAGTACATACACTCTACACTAATTTCTCCAAGGCCTTCGATTGGGTGAACCATAATATTTTAATATTTAAACTTAAAAAATGGGTATTGATCGTTCCACTTCTTGGATGACTGAGAACATACTTGATTGAAGTTCAGATGGTGCGTATCAGGGATTTTTTTTTTTTTTTTTTTTCAGTGAGATTAAGGTTCATTCAGGAGTACCCCAGAGTTCTCATTTGGGACCCCTGATATTTAACATTTGCATCAATGATATACACCACTGCTTCCAGCATAGTCCACCTCTTCTTTTAGCAGATGATCTAAAGTTTTACACAATTATCAATAACACAGAAGATTGTGTTCTAACACAGAAGATCTAGATTTTTTTGCATCGAAGTCTGAATTCATTTCTGGTCTCACATATACATTGAAATTTTTTTAGATAGGTACACATAGAATATTTCTTTTAAATAAGTATATTGAAATATAACTATTGTGAACATTGTTAATCTTATTGGGCAGAAGCCTGTTAAAAAGAAATAAATAAATATTAAGACCAGCCTGCCATTTCTATTAAATAAGAGGCAACAATAGAAATAAGGCAAATAAAGAAAGCTTGGTTTTCTACTCAATAAATGTTTTGAATACATAATTTAAATCTCTCTCAATAGCAAATAAAGGTAGAATTACTAGCAACACACAATCAAATGAAAAGTTTACTTAACACCCTACTTACTCAGTCCAATTATCCAATGTAAAAATTAAACTGGAATTGATAATCTTCTTACATTCCTCATCCTGAAAATGCCCCGAAGGTACAATAAGTAATGAACCATCCGGAGTGAACTGAAGTCTTCTGAAAAACGATTTAAAAGTATCGTCATAAAAAAATTTACACTCCTTGTCATAGAGAAAGTGGCTGTCAGGAACTGGTAGTTTTCCCTTATGGATTCTACTTTTTACCTGTTTGCCGGTTACATCGAAAATTCTACATATTCTGTCAGTACTGATTGTTGCTAAGAGTTGGTTTTTGGGATCCCAGGCTACTCCCTGCAAAAAAAAAACAAAGAGGCATTGGCTATTTTGACATTTATAAAACAATATTCCAGTTTTCAGACATAGTAAACACTCGGTATACACCCAGTGCCATAGATCAGCGAAGTTTTAGTAAACTGCAAATAAAATGACTTTAACTTGTTTATTTAATACAATAATTATTGTAATTTATATTAAAAATCCACTTTTTTCTTTGCATTGATGTTTGCTTATAACTTGGAAACTAATAGAACTTAAATTGACCATTTCTTGTTGTATTTTTACAAATTTTAATACATTTGCGAAATCCTATTTTCTTCAATAACAGTACTTATTAAATTTGCTAATAAAAATATAAGATTTTGCTGCTACAGATGCACAATTGTCTCTCATATCCCCTCTAAGTACTTGCACACAGGGAATATTAAAAAGTAACATCAGAAGTTCTGCACATGTCAACTTAGTGGGTATATAACACCACATTATTAAGATCATTTAAATATGCCTGTATTATATGGGCACACCAAGCCAAATTCAATGTTGATCTGACTGAAATAGTTCAAAAACGATTCTTGAGGTTTCTTTTTGTCAGATAGTTTGGTATCTATCCATACATAATTTCCTATAATGCTATATTAACTTGTTTTAAAGTTCAGCGCCTGGATAATAGAAGAAATGTTAATTCAGCCCTTTTTATTTACTATGTTGAAATCACATTAAATATAAAGATTGCTTTTTTATAAATAATATTAAATTTAATGTTCCAAAAATACATCTAAGAATTAATAACAAACGACTGTTCTCAGCTAATAAGACTGAGACTGTTTACCCATAAATAAGATGTTAGAAGAATGTAACCATTTTATAATTAACTGTGATAGACTTTTTAAATTCTTCTGTGAAACAAATAAAAGTTGCTTTTAAACAAATTTCTAGTCTGTGCAAAAGTTGTATTATAATTTAATTTAGATGTATAGAGTTTTTTATTTGTTTTATTCTGTCTAGGTTTAGTTTTGAATATAGTTATTAGTTTTCAGCAGTAGTAAGCACTCCTTTAATGTAATAACAATTATTTTGTGTTTTAAAGAATGTTAAAATAAATTATAAACATTTGAATATGAAAAAGCTACTCATGTGATAGGTACCGTGTTTGCTCACTATCCACCAAAAATGTATGTGACTGATATGGGCACATACAGTCAAAGCAGTGGGCACAAAACTGACACAAGAACTTTTACAGAGAAATTTTAAAAGCAATATTTCTTGGGCCTTATAAAATCAAAGTGTCTTCATTCCATCAATTATAAATAGTAAAGATAATTCCATATGTATCCCAAAACAGTGCTGCCATATCATTTACTGTTGATAAGACAATTTTTATCTTATTAGCAGTAGACATTTGTGTATCCATACTTTGGATTATTTTTTATGTTTTAGAGAATATAGGAATGGACCCAAATTTCATAGACTTCTATGAAACAACTCAAATTATTTCAGACTGACCTATGATGTTTCAGGGTTCAAAAGCTGCAGTCAGAATAGATGGAGAACTGACTCCCCTGTTTAACATCAACATGGTAGTAAGACAGGGAGATGCCCTATCAACCATGCTATTCAACCTAGTTCTTGAGGCAGTCATCAGAAAAACCAATATAACCGGCCATATAAACACCAAATCAGTACAAATTACTGCATATGCAGACTGTGTAGCCATCATTAGTAGGAATAAGCCACGACTAATGGAAGTGTTCAAACAAATTGATCCTGAAGCAAGAAAAAGAGGTCTGAAAATAAACGAACCAAAAACGAAGTATATGACAGTCAAAAGAATAACTGACAATGAAAATAATTTTCACAGTAGACAACTATACTATCGAACGAGTGGATACATTTACATATCTCGGAACAGAAATCAATCAGAAGAACTCCATAAGTAGCAAAATTAATGCACATATTTCCAGCGGGAATCGTACATACTATGCTAATAAAAGATTGATGACATCGAAATTATTAGACAAAAGAACCAAAATGACTATCTACAGAACACTGATTAGACCCATAGTAACCTATGGATGTGAAACTTGGGTAATGATGAAAAAAGATGAAGCCCCACTCAGGACATTCGAGAGAAAAATACTGAGGAAAGTATATGGCCCGGTAGAAGAGGAAGATGGCACATGAAGAATCAGGAGAAACGACGAGGTTAATGAGTTAAATGAAGGTTATGACATTGTAATATTTGTGAAAAGTCAAAGACTGTCATGGCTGGGACATGTGCAGAGACAAAACGATGCAAAAACAACAAAGAAAATGTTACAATGGAAGCCCATAGGAAGGCCCAGAATGAGATGGTTGGATGACATGGAAGACGACCTGAAAACAATGAACATAAGACAATGGAGAAGAAGGGCACAAGAGAGATCTGAATGGAAGGATATAGCCAGACAGGCAAAGACCCATCCAGGGTTATAATGCCAAAAGAAGAAGAAGACCTACGAAGTTAAGCTAACACTCAACAATTTTGTTTTTTGGACTTATTGTTCTGGTATTTATTATTTTTGAATCCAAGTTATCTCTGTGTTAATACAGTTATCAAAAAATTGTCATACAATACACTGTTTCACTTTAAACAGATTTGAAACTTACCTGAACAAAACCCTTATGATCTGACATAATATGATCCATTTTTCCTTTTGTAAGATCCCATAAAACAGCAGTATTATCCACAGAACCTGATAATAATTTCGTATTATCTACAGACCAACATAAATCATAGATATCTTCCTTGTGTCCGCGTAATACCTAAAAGAAATGCATAATGTCTAATTTGTTAAGAAGTTTATACACTTTCAACAAAACAAAACTACAAAAAGTCAACGTCAACACTGAGAAACTGAGATCACTGAGATAAAACACATTTTTTGAGTGAATAATGACAATTGTTCAAACTAAAACTAGATATAAAGAGCAGTTAGTTAAAATTATATTTTACAGATAAAAACTTTCACAATTTATATATGTATAAAAAGAAAAAACATTATTTCAACAATTTAGATCACAGCAGTTTCTGTAGATACAGGTCACTAGTAGTAAACATCTAAAACTACACACAAATGGCATTCATTTCTTGGGGATTCGCAGCTTTATGCTTTTATTCAGTTTGCAATTCTATTCATGCATTTATTGTCAATAAAAAATGTATTTCTGATTATAATCGATGGCTATGAAAAACATACTAAACAACTAGTGCAAAAACCAGAAAACAAAAATATCTTAGATAAGGTCAAACTTATTATTAAGTAAAATAGGTTTACCTTATAAACAATCCAAATTTCTTTGTCTTCAGTATCACCTTCTAATAGAGGGATATTGTCATTTTTCAACTGCCACACTATGATATTTGCATCATCATCTGCAGATGCTAGATACTGTCCTGAAGGTGACCATCTTACTATATTGACTGATCTCTGATGCCTAGTTAAATCTGATACCAATTCTTGTTTAACTGATCCGTTTTCACTTATAATCAGCTGCCATATCTACAAATTCAAATATACAATCTAATATTCATTAATGTAAAGTATTTATTTGTTTTTTATTCACAATCCATGGGATTGCAATAGATTAGTTTTTCTTGAAAACTGACAAATTTCCCAAGACAATTAAAAAGTAATAAGTAAATTGTAGGTCTTTTGTTAGACATTAACATTATATCAGTCACACTTGGTTTTACATATTAATATATATTATATAATAATAAAGTGCTACTACTTAAAAAATAAACCAAAACCATAAATTAGACATGATTAACATAACATAATGAGCAATTTAAAATAAACCCATTTTAAAAATATACCTCATGACCAATCCATTCACACCTATTTGTAGAATCAAAAAATACAAACACAAATTGTTTAATTTAACTATAAAATACCATAAATAAAGTAACATAGCTTAAGAATATTAAAAATAAATTGATGATTATAGCTTTTCCTTAATTGTGTCATATTTATTTAATACTTTAATTTAAATAGAATAATAAGAATTATTAGGTATTAAGTTTTGAAATTTTTGGTTTATCAAATGATTTAAAATTAATTTTAAATTTATTGACAAGCGTTCAACATGTTGCCTATTGTTAAAAATAATAGAGTTAAACTAATTCTAGTAAAATCATTTAACCATAAAAGAATAAATTGAAAAATTTAATTACCAGAATATGACTGTCTACACCACCTGAGGCCAACCTATAATGACCATTTGAAATAGGATGAATATCGACACTTAAAACTGGTTCTTTGTTATGCCAGGATATTTCTGGTATGGTACACTTCATAATAATTTAGTTCTGTTGATCTTACAGTAATTTTAAATAACTTTTTATCTTCACTTAACAAAGCCCGGCGACAACATAAACTCGCGCCAAATTATGACAACAAATGCGATTTAATCACTTGTCAAGTCTTGTCATTCTGCTGTCAAAAGACAGAATAGAAAATCATTTTGTGGTCAAAATCATTTTATTACTCACTGTTTGGTGTTCGGTGGTTATACGGCTACAAATTTCACAAACATAAACAACAAAAGTTAGGTTAGGATCCCGTGCAATCCCGATCAAGGCATTGAGCAATAAGACAAAAGAGGGAATCTAATCCTTATGAAAAGGAGACCAAAAAGTGGCCTCTGATGGCGGACATATCCGGAAATGCGAATGCGCGAAATTTAAATTTTCCGACACTTATCAACAGTAGCTATATAATATTTTTCAAAATTTGTCTTAGACGAGAAAGTTTTAATTAATTATTAATGATAAGAGTCTAAAATGCGACACAATTGTTAAAAAACTTCAATATAAATAAGATTTCATGTGACATTTGGGATAAACAATAACATAACCCAACTAAATTTGATGTCAAACAAGGAGAGAGACTCTCTTTCCTTGTTTAAAGTGGCCTCTAAAGATCGCACTTCCTGTCTAACAATATGTTTGCCCCCACTACCTTTACATTCCCTCTACACTTCATCTAATTTATATAACGATGCACGTCATCGGCGTCATAGCCTGTGACGTCATATGATACCAACACGAAATATTTAGGGTTTAGGTGTGTTCTTTTTAGAATCACTTTACCGAGTACACTGGCATTACAGCCACTAGGCATATTTTCTTATATACGCGTAGAAATAATATTTAAAAATTTCTATTAATGTTAACTTAAAGAAATACATAATAATATGTTTCATTTAATTTGTATAAATCCATTATAAAGAGTTTTTATCAAGAACATTTGTTCGGAACACACTGTAACTGTAATCGAACGAAGGTAAAATTTTGGCATAAATTGGTTACACTTATTTGACAGTTGCGGTGTTGACACTTTTTGTACTTTATTATTTTAAATTTTAAAGTGACTACCTCTTGTTTTATATTTTTACCTATTTAATAAAATCTGTTCTTTTTAGAACAAAATTAGTGTGTTTTATTTCAAAAATGTCACTTAAAAATTTAAATAGTCGTTGTAAAGAGATGGTAATACTTTTGCAATAATTATGTGACCTATTTGATTTAAAATGGAGTCAGGATTTTTTTATATTTTGGCAACTATGTCAACTTCGATCTCTGACGTAGATAATGACGTAAGTCGTTATCTAAATTAGATGAAGTATATTGTCTTTTTGCTCGATGGCTCAAGGACAGAATAATAAACAATCAGAATGTCCACTCTCCATGGAAAATTAAGTACGCGCATCTCGTTCGCGCAGACGTTCCGCCATGTTTTAGAGGGAACCAGTGGTGTGCATAGAAAATTAACCCGGTTTAATTGACTTACGGCAATCATATACATACTATACAATTATATTAACATTGTTAAATGTAATAACATAAATAATAATATAATTAAACATAAATATAAAACGTCATTGAATATAAACAATTACATAACCTCACAAATCATATGTCTGTGTTATGTGTTTCCTTCTAAAACATGGCGCGCGTGCTGAAAAACTTCAAAGGCGGCATCTGAGAGTGGGCATTCTGATTATTTATTATTCTGTGGCTTGAGTACGAGATGTCATTTTTGCGTTCTCAAGCTCGACTTCGTGCTTGAGAACGGTTTATAGAACACAAATTTGATTCAAGGTCGACGTCAAGTATCGATCGATATTTGAGCATCGTTTATAAATATGGGCCCTAAAAGGGCCTAGTTCCCGTGAAATACTAATTAAAATTTACGCATACACCGATCGCCAATAAATGGTAAAGTCCATAAACAGCTGATAGCCGTTGATCTAATACGCGCAGCCGGCGCAGCTTATATTAGAGGTAGGTTCGTCGGTTAACCTAGTGTTTTCCTTGTTTTCCAAGTGATTTAAAGTAAATAACAATGAATATAAAAGAGAATAGTAGTGGAAATGTGACTGAAGTACTGCCTAGACAGAATGAATCAAAAAGAGGAAAAAACACTGCAGAATGAGAGATGTCATGAAAAAAATTAGACTGAAGAGTCACGAAGTAGGTACAACCTGTAAGTCCATAGATAAATAATATTTATAATAGTAGTGTAAGTCATTTAAAGGCAGGAAAAGCCACTACAGTGTGAATGATAGTAAAAAATTATACTTACCTGAAGACTTAAACATAAAAAAGATGTTCAAAATGTTTTGTGAGTTGAACCCTTCTATGAAAATAACTTACGAACAATCAACAAACTTACAGAACAATCTTTAATACAAAATTTAACATAGCCTTTGGATATCCAAGAACCGATACATGTAGTTTCTTATAAAAATACAATCTCTTCAGTCTTATGTTTTAAACAATTTCGATCTTGCTCAAAATGAACGCTTGCAAAAGGAAATACACCAGCTTACGATATAAAATGATGTACACAAAAGAAATGCTAAGGTATTATACAGTAGAAAAAAGGGCTGCAAAGAAAAAAGTCGAACCTCTGTCACTCACGAAGCTATTTGTCTCGATTTTGGAAGAAATCTCAGTGTCCCAAACATAACAACAAAATTTTATTTCGATTAAGGACCGTACACCATAGTTGGATACAGCAGGGTTAACACTTTGATATTCGTATTGCGGATTTAGTTTAAAATGACTATCAGATTTCCGAGAACGATATTCTTTTTCAAGACAACCTACAACACCATACAACAGCTGTGTGTGATTTTTGGAACCCACACTACAAGTTCTTGAACACTGAACTGGTACAACAAAATTAATTGAATAACCTGCAAGTTCGCCATATCTAACACTATTTGGTTTTTTATTATATGTTAATTATAACCCAATAAAAATTAATAATAATATATAATTTTTATTGTATAAGATGAACGCTTTAAAGACACATAATATTATCATATAATATATTATAAACATTGTTTAAATGTATAAATACTTATTTAAAGTAGTGACACCTAGTAACCAAGTACGTAATTTGTAATATAATTGATAAGCATTCGAATACGTGTGTATTGATATCGTTGTTAATTACGACTATTCACTAATATAATCCATTTTAAACAATAAAAGTGAAATAAAATTGTAAATATGATAACATTTATAGAATTTTTGTGTATTATAAAATTACAAAGTAAGAAAAATTCGTGTTTTTGAACCTGCGCCATCTACCATTTTGTTTTAAAGTAGTGGGTATAGGCTTCTTCCCATCTGGCGCCGAACATGATACAGATGCAGAATCCTGAATGGAATAGTTGGAATATGTAAAGAATGACAAATTCTTGAATTAGATGGCAGGTAAGTGTGGGAATATGAAATACGGAACTTGATTTTTCAATCGGCCATAGTAGAAAATGGCGATCGCGAAGAATTTTATGTGAACGAATGTGCTTGCATTTAGTGCGCGTACAGTGTATTTAATAGTAAAATCGAGACAATTTTAACGTTCATAGTTGAATTGAAATGCCAACATGCAGAATGTTTCGCAAGAATCCTCTACAGATAATCCGAAAATAGATAAAGTGACTGTTCTCCACGAACTAGGGAACTCATCGTCTACTCCCCAATCGACGACGTCCAATTCAAGTCCAGCTAAATCAGAAACTGAAACGTATTCAGAACATCGCAGATATATGTCAGAAACATCAGAAAGCGAGGAAGATAGTGTATCAGAGGTAGGATATTATAAATTAGCGTTTGTCCCTTGTTTTTCACGTTAAAATTCTGCCTCGAGGCCCAAGTATCAATGAACTTCCAGTAGAGAGACATCTTGTGGCAAGAATTTTCGAGTTGTACATTACTCGCCCTAGAATATTGAATTTTACGTAAATTTCCTCAAAATATCCACTAGAAAATTGTTATTCGACATTTATAATTTTCATTATGTAAGTATCAAAAAACTGCGTTCCAAAAATCTAGTGCGCCTGGATGGATGACTGGTGCAATGTGGAAGGATGTGAATCGAAATGAATGTTTCCATTTACAAATGACTAATGACTCTCGTCCGTCGTAAAAATCTAGTTGACCGATGTTCATTGTACACGTCGACCTATCCTTTTGTTTAACTATTTAATTTTATACTCGATAAGAAAAACAGGCAGACAAAATAACAACACACCTTCCGTGCTTGATCCACTTTTCAGTTCCAGCAAATTGGGAGGATATTGAGTTAAATTTTTATAAAAGAGGGCAGGCTCATTGTGATAACTTTGGATTTATAGCTGCCAGTTAATTTTGGGGATCTGACTTTATTATTTCATATTTTCACATATGGATCTATGAAAATAATCTATAAATAGAACAGGATCTGTAATTCTGTTTTTTAGAGTACCGATTTTTTTTATTTAATTATGTGCGAGATATAGTACAATTAGCAGCCTATTTGACTAGGACTGGATTAAAACTACCTGTAATTCTTAGAATAAACAGGTAGTTTTGGTAATACATATTTTTTGAAGTTTGACATACTTTTAACTATTTATTTTCTGTGGAGAACTGTAATTTCCAATCTATTTCTTTTACAATATGTCTAGGATATTATTTATCAACAGCTACTATATGTGGGTAATCAATTTAATGCTTTTCTGCCTGCTTTCTATCAGTTTTTTACTAATTCTGATTAGATACAACCTACTTTTTCAAAAATATGTTTGTAGATAAACATTTGAATATCTGCCTAATAATTATTTTTTAAATTTAGATGATTAAATCAATATAGTTTTATTGCATCATAAATTGAATATCTCTTGTGTTAAAATTTACTTACAAGGCATAATAACTTATAAAATTAACAATGTTCACTTTTGCTGATTTAGTAAGCCTTATTTTATTGATATTCTTTAGGTAAGTATTTCCAGGTAACTGTCTTTAGCTCTTAAATACATATTAGACTTTTTCACAAGCACAAGTTTCCCTACAGCCACTCCCTTCCAGTTTTCCTTTGAGGTTAGGATAGGCTGTCAGGTTGTTAACATTTTTTTCTTTTTATGGATATATGTGGCTTACCAGTACCACCACAAATATGAATTACAATGAGGTGATAACAAAATAGTAAGAAAATATTTTTATAGTAAAATACCTAATGAAGATAAACTTAATATACTTGTAAATAGGTACTTAATGGAGTCAGGGTTATTAATACTTAATGATGCCTGTGCCGATTCTTTTTATTGTATATTTTCACTTCTGTGGGTGCATTTTGTCCTGAGTTTTCTGGTCTGCAATTAAACAAGTTCAGGTTTTCTTGGATATTATCTTGTACTTCTTTTATGTATTATTTTAGTCTTGTAATTCTCATTTATCTACAAGTATATCTTGTCAATTATATAGCTACTTAATTGGTGTTCATGGTACATTCTTAATATTAGATTTATGATTTATTGTATAGTTTTTGATGTAGCTTTGCTTTCTTAAACAAATCATTCCTTTATATTCCACACTCAACATAAATATAGTACTTAAATGTATCTAGCTTTCTCTTAACTTCTTTTTAATCTAAATTTACTATTTTCTGAGTTTAATATATTTTTTACTTAATGTACAATTGGTGTGAAGTAATCCTTAGAAGATACAAGATTAAAAATACAATAATATGAAGTAAAATAAGTAAACAAGTGAAAAAAGTATCTTAGAATCCTTTTTTCGCCACAACTCAATTTCATCTGTTCAAATTAATGTTAACAAGCCTTTATTTTATATAAAGTTATATAAATATGTAGTTCCTGTTCATCCTAATATTAACAAGTCTGTTTATTTTATAAAGATGTATGAGTTTGCAGCTCCTGTTCATTCTAGCATTCATCTTTCATTTGTTGCAAGCTAGTTCATTAATTGTCCTTCTGCTTTCCAAATTAGGTTGACTAGAAATCTGTTTAATAGGGCTTTTCATCAGCCATCATATTTTTCATACAGACAGATTTGGCAATGGCATATTCGCGTTTGAAACTGAATTATAGAGGGCAGGTTGATTGCAGTGCCATGGCCGATATAAATGGTATAAACAAACATAACAGTTGACTGTTTACCATTGCTTTTGCATGTTTAGTTTGGTTTAAGATGAGTTATTTTTATCATTTAAATATGGAAATTAGCCTTAATGATAGCTTTGAGTATTGTGGTAAAGCAAAGAAGGGTTGTTGGAAGGGAAAGCAGTTTTCATTGCCAACCATATATTTATTTGTGACAATAAAACAAAAACCTGAACCACAGTTGAAATATCTTTTGTTGCTCTTAAATTACATTGAGGAACAAAAGAATATCGATTTGATTTAAAATACTTTAACATAGCCATAATGCTACAATTTACTAAAAAAATTTAATAATTCTATTCAAATCAGCAGCTGTCTGGTTTATTTATACAACTTTTAGTAGTTTAAATTTATTCTGCCAGAGGTCAGATACTTTGTTTTCAATCTCGAATAGTTATATATTTTTATTTCATAAAGAAATAACATTGTTTATAAAGAAATAATGCCTTTAGAAAATTTATAAAATAATATGTATTGTCTCTAAATGATTTAGAGTGTGTATCACTAATACATACTCCATAACCACATCACTTTGTTGATCTTTTTCATACAGGTGTCATAATTGAGACACTTTTTCATTATTTTCTTATTTTTTTGTTTGTCAATAAGTAACTATACTTTCTTTAGTATTTTTCATCTTAATAATTATGTGTTCACATGCACTTTATCCCTACTTATGATATTAATCTAACCTAACATGTTTGTTTACAAAAAATTTGTTGGAAAAAATTGCTTACACTATTTTTTTTATGAAAAGTCATTGAATTTCACATTACATTAAATTTAGAACAATTCAGTTGGTAATATAGCTATCATTTTTATCTTCCAAAGTGATTTGTCATATGCTTTTGACATAAATTGTCATTTTTTAGCCCTACTCACTTTTATATCCTTGGATATGTTTTTTTGACTTACTGGATTAAATTCTGTTGTTCAACCTTTCTCCCTGCTTATTTTTTAGCCTGTTGTCTTTCTCTTTCTTATAATTTATTGGTTAACTTGTCTTCATAGCCTAATGTTGTAAAATAGTGTGTTAGGCTGTCTATATCATAAATATGTATGAGCTTGAAGCTCCTGTTTCCTATTCTAGCTCTTTAGTTAAATTTTTAACACTAGATCTAGATCCTCCATTTTCTTTATTGCTATAAATACATCCTAAATTAATGAAAGTCTTGTTAATTCTGTTATTGAAGATTTTTGTTTTTCTGGGCAGTCCCTGTCTAAAAATAGAAAAATGAAATATATTTATAGATTAGCAGTTTGTAAATATTTTTGCTCTTCCACCAATCCCATTTCAATTTCTATAAATACCGTCTGATTTTGATGTTTAATATTGCATATGGGAATAAGTGAAGCAACAAATAAATGACTTTCTCTATTGTTTACCAACTACAGATACACATAATGCATCAAGTACACTTAATATATTTTCTTTGGCAATAAATAGGTAATAAAAAAGTAGTTTATGTATTGGAATATTACTTATATTTAGAATTTGTAAATATTACTTTTACTCATTATTTATGGTTGCTAAAGGGTTTTGAGGACTAATGTAAAATCATAATGGTTTGAAAATAGAAGATCAACAGTTATTATTCACTACTTAATGTAGTTCTGCAAATTAATATTTACATATTCTGTTTTTAAAAACCACATTTTTGCCAAATATACTGAAGACAATAATAAACCAAGTCTATTAAAAGCAATCTTCATAATTACAGATTTGACATTTTTGTAGGAGATAAAAGAAACACTGCAATATAGAAGATAACAAATGTAACCAGAAAAATTTGGCAACGCATTTCCAATATTTTTGTCACACATCTGCATCCATTTTTAACTAATAATGCAACATATTTTGGTCCATCTGCTTACAGTAAACGCAGTTCATCAAATATCTATAAGAAACAAATCAAGAATTTGAGCATAATGTCCTAATTGCCTAATAAACTGTCTATGTTTAACCTTGCCAATTTTTATACAGTTCAATGCCCACCAGCATACTTCCAAACCATTTAACAGACTTTTCACAAAAGCCAAACAAAGTAATATCTAGTGAAACTTTTCAAAGTATTACTTTACAAGAAATGAAAACTAATAAAGGCACTTATCAAACAACTCTCCTAAATAAATAAACAAATTCAGATCTGTCTATGACCTTGTCCAAGTATTTGATCCACAAATAGATAAAATTGGTAGTCTTTTATATGTATATGCAAACCATGCACTGGTTTATCTATGTGAATACTGTGTAAATCTTTTAATCTCAATTAACTATTGTTTTGTAGATATCATGAAAACAATCTATGTTTTCTTTGCTTCCTGGACACCAAAATCTTATACACATCAATCCTGACATATTGCTTATGATCCATCAGATTATTTAAACATTTACCAACACTTTTATCAAACCAAGTGAATGAGGTTGTATAATAATTGAGAAATTATGAAAATCACTGAGTGTGATTTGATTATTAGAAAGTCTGAAGAAAACTAATAAAAAAGGGTCATTTTATTATTGTTTTTTTACAATTACTTACCTAGGTGTAAAAATCTTCTCTTTTCATTCATTGCCCTATTGTGAGAAATTTTGTATTGAAAAATGTTCAAGGAATAAAATAATATAGATGCCAAAACTTTTCAAACTAGACTTTACAATTAAAATTGCTCACTAAATAACAAAGTTATTGCTA